CAGCTTTCCTGTTGCATCTTTCAGTGGGTCCCTTTGGGGCATGGTTGGATTCAAAGAGCCCTTGGCTCCAGTCTGCATCATTCAGTCCATCCCCCAGGCTACTGTCGTGCAGGTCGCTGTAAGGTAAAACACCCAGTAGTGTCTAGCAGTAGCAGAATGGAGTGGTGCAAGGAGCTTCTTCCTTTTTTCTGTTATCCTTTCTTGCCTTCAGGTAGGGTAGTACTTCCTTTCACCTCTTCCAGCACTACTGGCACATTGCTGTTGTGTTCTTGTCCGGTCCTCCAGCTTCTTACAGCTCCTGTGCAAACTCTGCTTCTCCATCCCTCCATACCCTCTTCTCTTCTCTCAAGTTGGAGGAAGTCAGGGTGTTTCTAGGACCAGACAGCAGCATGATGTTCGGCTGCACGTGTACCAGGAGTGATAGTTGTGTATGTGCTACCAGAGGTGAGAAATCAAGCAGGGAAAGTTATTTCAGACACTTCTAGAGACTTGAAAATTTCTGGTCACTGAGACCAGAAATTTGAACTGCAACTCGTTGCTGTTGGAGGGAGGCAGGTGTTCTGGGCTTCACTGCAGAGAGGTGGTTTATATCACAGAATCATAGAATATTTTGGGTTGGAAGGGACCTCTAAAGGTCATCTAGTCCAACCCCCCTGCCGTGGGCAGGGACATCTTCAACTAGATCAGGTTGCTCAGAGCCCCGTCCAACCTGACCTTGAATGTTTCCAGGGATGGGGCATCCACCACCTCTCTGGGCAACCTGTGCCAGTGTTTCACCACCCTTGTAAGAAATTTCATACTTATATCTAGTCTAAATCTACCCCCCTTTAGTTTATTCCCTCTTGTCCTGTCGCAACAGGCCCTGCTAAAAAGTTTGCCCCCGTCTTTTTTATAAGCCCCCTTGAAGTACTGATGGGATCTCCCTCTGTGGAGTCTTACACTCTGCTGTTGACATGTTGTTTGGTTTAACTTCAGTAAAGGGGGTTTTGCTGGCAGGACTCAAATGTGAATTGGTAGGCTTTGCATGTAATGCTTCCTTTTGTCAGCCAGCACTGACTGCTTGCTTGACTTACAGAAAGTGAGTGGAGGTGCTGTGTATTTGCAAGAATAATTGTCCGTTTGTTATATGATGTGACTAGCCGGAAGGAGAATCTTATGTGTATCTTGTGGAAGAGTGGTTTCCAAAACATTAAACTATTCCTGCTTCTTTCTTAACAGTTTTGTTCAGGCTTCTATTTATTAAAAGGTCAAAATGCCCCTTTTCCTCTTTGAAGGGGGCCATAACCACACACATTGGGTAATAGCTGAGTTGCATTTATGTAATTTCATTATGGTCAGGCTTTTTTTCTGTCTTAGTCTCCAAATGTGAAGCTACATTATAGTCATAGCAGGAAAATACAGAAAGCATCGGTGCGTATGTGACTCAGAGAGATGATAGGGTTCCATATGAAAACACAAAATGTGACTAGTTACACACGCATGTTATTGCAGTCACCAAACCCAGGATGTGGCTGTAGACAAACAGGAAAGCTGCAACACCACTGCAGCTGAATGTAGGGCAAGTGGAGGAGAAGATCATTTCTGTTGCATGTTTTATGGGTTGCATTGTCAAATATCATTTGGGTTCCTGTCAATATATAACAAAATATCTTAAGACCAAATGGCCTGTGGGCAAAGATAAATGTGCCCTCGAGGGGAAAGTGAGGCATGGTGGGCTTTTCTTTACTCTGTGTTCTGCCTGCTGCTCACCAAAAGTAGAAGCTTTCCTCTTCACAGGAGGGGTTTTATTTTTTTCTTTTTGTGCCTTCTTGAGATGGTAAAAATATTATCAAAGGGATGTTATTCACTTATCCCTTATGTTTATTAAAAACAAAGCCATTCTTTTTATAACTTGCAGTTTAAGTGTAGATTTCTCTGAAACAATGGAAATAAATTGCATTCAGGATTAGGACTGTTCTTGATGAGAAAAGAATTAGGTGCAGCTTTGATTGCATTCCTCTTGTTAGTATTCCCATATTGCTCAGATACTCGTACTGTACGAGTATGTAACCAAACCAAACAGGTGCCTTATTACAGTTGAACATCCAAAATTTCTGTGCATGTATGCGGTCAGCCTGTGTTTGAAGAGGCATTACCCTCTTACTAGTGACATTTGAATTTTTCCAGGTTGAGCAGAAGAGGTAGGATGGACACAGCTAAAATGTAAAGGCAATGGCAGGCCCAACAAGCAGGCGCCGTGTGTGCACAATCAATTAGTGCCTGCGCGGTCTCCGAGGGCACGGGGAGATGGGCCAGGCCGCTGGGCAAGCAGCCAGGTGGCAACCCGACTTCAGAGCAGAGCTGAACTTTTGCTTGCTTCCAGCTATTTTTATTCCATCCTTAACCCAGGCTGCAAAAAAATCAGAGACAAATTAAAGTGTAATGATGAGTTCTTTCAAAGCCAAAGACGACTATGCTTGAGCAGCTCCTGCATTTGGGCTACTCTATTTTTAATTGGGAGCTTGTCCAAGATGCCCCAAGTTCAAACAGGGATCACTGCTGTGCAACACAAAGCAGCATAGTGTCTCTTTAGGACTTGGGATATATAATGAGAGGACTGAGCATGTTTACTTGGATACTATTTTAAAATATCATCTAATTATAAATAACTGTCAATGAGAGCTCCCCAGCTCTCACGCTGTGCCCAGGAAAAGTCTGAATAGGCTGCTTTTCTGTCTGCCAGGGCAATCTAGCATCAAATTCTAGGTCTTAAATCCATGAGGTTGGTAGGGTTAAATTTTTCTTCAGAAAATACTTCCCTGACCAGACTCCCAACCGTTGCACGTGGGGAGAGATGACTTCTGCAGCAGCTAAGGTGCTCAGCCACCTTCGGTTTTATCAATTAAAGCAACCATTCTGTATCTGTGGTTGGAAATAAATAGGGAGCTAGGAAAAGCATGTAGTGCAATGCTAAATGCTGACCTCCCACCTCTAAGTATTAAGCTTCTCCAACTAGGCACCTGATGCTAAACAGGCACTTGGAAATGTATCCTCCAGTGGACCTCACAATATTTATAGATGCGTCTGAGCAGGGGTTTTCTAGCATGAGGAATGCTTGCCTCTAATGAAAGAAAACCTCTGCTCTCTTAATGAAGTATTTAAAGGAGCTGATTTGGATTGCAGCGGGCTGCTCAGAAGTCTCATTACTGCTGTGTTTTTCTTTTGGTCAGGTAGCACTGTCATTCTCTTTATCCATACCTATCAGACTGCTTATGAAAGCTACTCTTTGGATTCCTCATTTCCAAACCTGGTGCCTTGATTGCAAAGGGCAAATAAATATTTTAAATCTTTTTTTTTCCCCCCCTGACTTTGGCCATGAGAATTCAAAATGGAAAATAAACTAAACATGAGACCGACATAAAAATTCCTTTCTCTCCCTCTCTATGGTAACACTAAACTAGGCTGGAACCTCTTTTGCATGCAATGAAAATTATTTAGCTTTCTCCTTCTCAATATTTCTAACCTACGATCATTTTAAGTGTAGTTAAACTTGGCATTCTTTGTTCTTAACGCTTCAGATTTGTGATCTTAGATGACTTCAAAACCAGAAAACTTTATTCCATAAAAATCTCAGTTTTCAATTAATTTAGTGATTCTAAGATTTTTTTAAAACTTTTTTTCCCTTCAAATATAAGATACCATGATAAATAGTTGGCACTATTCAACATGTTGGAGGGTATCAGCACAGTTTAAAGAATTGCTGAGAGTTTCTAGGGTGGTTTGTAAGTAACCATGGTGATTGACTGTTCTGTTGGATCAATCTTACAGCTAAATCTGTCATGAGGATACAGCAAATCTGCAGTTACATCTGATGATGCTCAGCATTAATAACGAGTAATTATGGTAGCACCAGAAAGTTCCTGTGTTTTGGAATGCAAATGTTAAGATGTTGTTGTACGGAGTGGTTTTTTTTTTTTCCCCCTGTGAGGGGGTGGAGAGCAGTCTGTGTTGTTGAAAGATGTGTTTTGGCTTGTTTGTCTTGAGTTCATAAAAAGTAAGGTTTGTCATTCCGGGATGTTTGTTCTGAAGGCTTGAAACAAACACAAACAAAGTTCAATGAAATCTGTGTTGTTACTCTTATTTTTTTTTTTTTTTTCCCCCACTGGTTTTCTTGTGAACACAAAGAAAGCAAGATGCCAAGGTTCAAACTGTGAGACTGCTAAAGTCAGCAGAGCGTTTACCATCCGTGGCAGGGGCACCAAAATTCCACTTAGTGTTTATTTAAAATATTTGTGCTTCTCTTCCCTGCAGTAGGTCAAACAGGTTTTTTTGAAGACTTGCTGAGATGCTGTCTCTGTGTATTTGCAGCTAGAGAAAAGCTTGTCTTGGAACAAACTGGATTTTTCAGTGGATTAATCTGTCCCAAAGCATTGTAACAAGATTATGGTTTATGCTGATTTGTTGCAACGGTACTGGTATATCCAGTCATTCCAATAGCAAAATGATAATCCTAAAGAATTAAATCTGTCTTCTTGCTGGCAGGGATAAAGAGAATAGAGGGATGGGAGTCTCTGCTCCCTTGTTAGGTATTAGTGGGTGATAGCTTGAGTTCAGCATCAGTTGTATTGAAGCAATTTGATTGTATCAGGCTTTTGCAGAGGGATTGGAAATTGCAGAAATAAAGCCTTATCTCCTTTCTCTTGATTGTGAAATATTTAATGGTCACCCAGAGCAAAGTTTGATCACAGTACTGTGAGGCTGAAGGATTACATCAGTGCACAAAGTACCACAAGTAGTGATGTTAGGCAGTCTGATGGTCATGCTGTCCTTGCCCCTCCCTCGCTAAGCAGGTAGGGTCAGTGACGCAAACTGGATGCCCTGTTGTTCAGACACGACTGAAAATTGTTGCGGCGTGGCCAACCGTAGGCAACAACAGTTGTTTCATCCGAGGAAAAAGGTGTACAGCGAGGAAAGGCTTAATCTTGGACAAACTATTTCTTGGGTAGATGCATCTTGGGTAGATGCATCTTGCCCAGCTCTTCCTGAAGCTGCGAGAAGATTCAGTGTCTCTCCCTCCACCATCCAAGGCTGAGACAAGTGTAATTGCTGGTAACGGACCTTGCTGCAGACGAGCAGTTTTGGGCAGCTGAGTGTCTCAGTCTGGGCTGGATGGGGTTGGATGATTCTCCTGGGTGTTTCCTACATGGTCTCTGTAGCAAAGTACCAAAGAGGCAGTCTGAAACTCTTGGTGAGTTTGTGAGGCACGACCTGAGCTGGCTTCGATGCTTGGGCTCTTCTGTGGCCCAAATAAAAATATTATTAAAAAAAAACCAACACTTTTTTTTTTAATCTTTTGTAATGTAAAAAGCGACTCTGAAGACCAACTAGTTGAATCTTAATTTGAGAGACAGCACACAAGATTTTCAACTAATTTTGCCTGATCTTCCCTGCTTTAGCTGTGAGTTTTTCCCTTTTCTTGTTTTTGGTAAAGGAAGGAAGAATGTAAGTTTTCTTAAAATCAAAATGAGTATGAATCCTTATGCTGTCAGGGGAGGCCTTTCATCCACTGAAAGATGTGGAGTCTATGCAGTTGATGGAAGGTCAAGTCAATATTACTTTGGATTTCTTTGGAGAGAGGCATGTTTGTTGATTGCAGTTTGAATCGTGACAGAAATATTGGTTGATCCAGATAATAGGAACCAGCAAAAATGAATGTGCTGCAGGAATAGAACAATTAAACAGAAATACATATTTAAAACTACTTGGGAAATTGTTTGAGAAGGAAGAAGGGAAACTGAAAAGTGAGGTTGATTATCAACAGTCCCAGACATAACTGCAATTTTTACTCCAGATTTTTGTGTTGCAAGCTCAAAAGGTTGTGTAGCTGGGGACAGAGCCCTCTGCTTTCACCGTTTCCACTATGTTCAGACACAGACAGTCAGATGAGACCACTGTCAGGCTTTCCTAAAGCCCACTTTAAATTAAAAATTTAATACACTACATTTTATAGGCCTGAGATGTTTAAATTTTAATGTGGGTTGGGTTTGTTTTGGTTGGGGTTTTTTTTTCCATCTTGCTCCTAGAAACTACAATATTTGCTCCTAGAAATTACAATATTTACCCTTTTAACTCACTGGCAGTCTGTATTTAGACTTTGCATGATACACCACCATGAAAGTTGTTTTGCTTTTCTGTAAACAAGGAAGTTTGTCTGATCAGCTAGATAATTTTTTTTTTTAATCAACCTTTTTTTGTGTCTGTATGGAACGACAAAGTGAGACTGATAACATGGAAAGGCTTTCAAAGCAGGTTTTTCTTTGGTAGTAGTAGTATTTTCTACAATTACATGCTCTTTTTACTTCTCTGCCATTAGGCATTTTATGCAAGAGTAACTCTTCCAAGCATCTGTTCAGCCATAGTGACAAAAAAACCCATAAAATTTTCAATCCTTGTAGATCCAATGTTCATTAATGTTGCTACAAGTGGGGTTCTTCACATAACAAAATATTTCTCGGGTTTTCTTTCCTTCCTTTGTTAAGGAACATTACAAGGATGTGAATTTTTTCCATAGAAATTCCCGTTGCTACTTCAAACTGGAAAATTCAGATGTTGTTCTGCTCCTAATGAAATTTTTCCTCTGACCTACATCATAGACCAGTGCAAGCTTTATTTTTGCGGAAGAAATAGCACTGGCAGGCTGAACAGCTCATTGAGATTTGACTCAGTAACCAAGCACAGTGCTAAAGTTTAAGCAAGCAAAGCACTCTAATTTAATATTTATTAGTCTTTGACATTCATCGAGGTATGTCTCCCTAGATAAATACCTGACAGATACTCTGGAGTGTGATGCACCATGCAGAAAACAAAAGGTTTGACTTCTTCCCTCCACCCTCCCTCAGAGTTCAGATAGAAGTTATTTGTCATGAGGAGAGGTTGTATGACCTGCTAAATAATAATACTAAAATTAAATGAAATTAATTGCTCTAATTTGAATATTCAGATTTAACAAGAACTTCGTGTTTCTCCCCCCAAAATGTAAATTCCAAACTCAGCATTATAGGAGAAGAAAGCTTTAAGTGTTAGTGAAATGATCTGTAGGAGAAGAGGCACCTGTTCTGCCAGCGAGATATTGCTGCGGTAATACGGCTGAGTGTTGGAGGTGAAGGATTGTATGTTGATAGGATTGTGGTAGATGGGAAGTCAGATGGGAAGTCAGATGGAAGCTGTCCCGTGCACTGCTGCAGTTTCAGTCTGCCTGAAACAGCAAAACCACTCGATGACTTCAGATGAAGTCCGTGCTTCTAAAGGAAAAAGGGCATTTGCTCACTTGTTTCTTTCCTCCCCTTGATGACAACTTTGATGGTCAGGTATGACAGCACTGCAGGTATTTGGTTAACAAACAGAATATAGTAGGTTCATCTTCTACTGACTTGTCACATACTCATTTCTTTTGTTTCTCCTCCATTGCATGTATTAAAACCAGAGAGGGTTATTTAGGAGCTCAGTCTTGTCCCCTAAGTGAGAGAATTCATACTGCTCTTTGAATTCAGACTCCAATAAAAATAGATTCTAAGCCTCAAAGATATTGGCAAATTGACTGCTTGGAGTTGTCTTCTGGTTTTGCCCATGCTAACAGTTTGGGGGTTTTTGTGTATGTTTTTCAAAGAACTTGTACTCTTACTAACATAAAAACAACATACTCGGTGCAGTGCTTCTTGAGTGCTGGTGATGCTTCCATGTGTCCCTGCATCAAACGAGACCAAATTGAAGTTAACAGTGAAAAATCTTCCTGATGCAGCCTGACGCACACCTTGATCTTTTTTTGCTTACTTGTTTTGTATGGAACAAGGAGTTGCTGTCTGCTGGTTTTTTGTGGACAGTTACGCCTTGGTTTTTGTTGCCTTGTATTTCAAGAGATCAGAAGTCCAAACAACCAACTGGCCGAACAAGAACGAAAGTGTTGGGAGCTGTTTAAAGACTGTGTAAAGGATGAGCCCACCAGTGAAAGGCAACACAGATTCCCAGATGAGAATGGCCCTGAGTTATGATTGATTTTTTTTATTTTTTTTTTTTTAAGGCAAAAGGATGCTGTGGTACCCAGCCTGGTTTTAACACCTGGCGATACCACAAAGCCTACCTTGGAAAGGCTGCAGGTACCTGTGATGCTCGCAGACCCTGATTGCCAAGGAGACTGAAGTTAGTGTGTGCAATGCCCGCAGGTAGTAGGTGCTCGCTGTGCACAGCTGGGTGTTTCTGACCTGTGTGCGGTCTCTTCAGGTGTGCTGTCTTGTCAGTGCTAGGCCCTGGGCTCCCCATTTTTTAGATGGGGAGCCCTCAGCTTTTGTGCTGAGAGGAGGCCTTGGCTTCAGCTTTTACCCGCTGTGAATCTTCCAATAAGTTGAAACTGAATTCATCTTAAGGTGTTACTTCTGTGGGAGCTATGTGTCTAGCAAATGTTTGCAGAAACACAAGTTGGCCTTTCCAAAACCCAGACAGCTTGTATTAGTTGATTGGTGTACAGTGTTGTAGATTCCTTCTTTTGGAGTGGAAAAGCAGCTCTGGCATTTGTATTTGTGCGAGCAGTGTGACCTCCCTCTGACCTGAAACACCTCTTTGCACAGAGCCATGAAGTCCATAATACCATCGTCTTTTTTTTAACAATAGATTATAACTTCATTTCATACTAGCTGGGGCTGTGCTTTATTTTTCATGATGCTGTAGGATAATGCTAAGCTGTATCTTAATGCATGGCTTGCTTGGTCCCCAGCCAGGGAAAGTCCAGTGAAGCTGCATGTCCAGTGAAGCAGATACGGTGTAAGTAAGGCTCCTCAGTGCGATGATAGCATGATAAATAAGTAAGAACCTCGCTTCTTTCTTTTTTCTGGCTTCTAATCTTTCTCTTAGCTTCCAGTTGTTGCAAAATAAACCTTGGTTGCTAGTCTTCCCTTGTAATGCTAGCCACATGCTGACAGTTCTTTGTAGTTATTTCACAGCAGACGTGCTCACCTGACCAGACAGCCACTTTTTTGCTGTTCCACAAATTAACCCTTTGTTCCTAGCAAATGTTAGTGTAAGCTTGAGTGGGGATAAAGTTGAAGTTATTCATTTGTGTGGTTTTGTAGGTATCTGGCTGAGCACCCACTGAAATGACTTTTAATGTTGCTGAGATTTTCCTGTGTGATCATATGTTATGCGATTGTGGAACATTAGGTGGAATAATTAAACTTACCACCTACTTAACTGACCAAGGCAGGCTGGGTGATGCACTTAATTGTACGACATCTGTTACCTGCATGCAGATGGTGTTCAGGCTTAATGAAAACACATGGCCCAAAGTCTTGATGAGTTTTCCGTGGGGTTTCGCAGGCATCTTCTTCACCAGCTATTTCACAAAAGCCATCTTAAGTTTGTCATGAGCTCCTAGCTCTTTTCTGTAAGCCTTTTTGTTCCAGGAGGAGCAAATTCTGCATGCTTGAACTGATGTGCAAGGGACAGCATTAAGCTCACTTTACAGTCTTCTGTGATGAATGAGATGACAGGAATGTTTCCGTAACCATCTTCCTGGCAGGAGGAGATGGTAGCTAGTTCATTTGGCGTGTGTAAATGGTATCTGTTACGTTGCTGGAACCTTGCATGCGAATTCTTCTGTTTCTCTGAATTGCTCATTACCTACTATTTTAATGTCTCCAGACGCAAAGCTTATGCTTTAAGGCAGTGATGCAAACTCTTAGCCAAGATGACAAAGTGTGTGGCATTATAAAGCATTTATATTCCTGTAGATCGCTGGTTATTTTTAGAAGAGTTTCTGTGAATGAATGAGTCATGTTGGTCTGCACATTTTGCAGTGACTTGAATGTTAGTTTTTCAATACTAGGAGGAGAACCTTAAAAGTGGGGTGGTTTGTTTTTTTTCATTTGTTTCATGATTTTTCTTCAGTGGTTGGTGTCGAAAAGTCATTGCTGTCTTTGGCAAACCAGAATATGTGGAACCTGTGTGAATTTTCATTTATGGACCGTAACAGGCCAAGCTTTAATTGTTGATCCAGGAGGAGGTGGGAGTGCTCAGACCCTTCAAAACTGGAGTGGTCTTCAGTTCTACTCCTGAGGCTTTACTCCAGGCATTTGGAAATTGTGAAATGCTAAACTAATAAAAGTGTGTGTCTTTAGAAAGTAAGTGGTAGCAACAACCTGCAGGGAGGTCAGTGCTTACTTCAAAAGAAATGAGCTTCCTTCTGTGCTGCAGCATTGCCACATATAAACTCAATCCCTGCGCATAGCAAACTACTGTTTTCTCATCTGGTTCTGAAAAGCTGCACGTGAGAACAGAAATTCGTCTCTGAACTTGTAGATTGAGGTATCCTGCTCCCAGTCTTGCTACAGTTTTTAACTGCTAATTTGAGATTGGAGTGTGTACAATGACAGAGCCAAGATTTGGCAAATGTGGGTGATCCAGTTTTGGAACTAGAAAGAATTATTAAAGAGGTATTGGCATTTAATGTAGGTGGTGTTTAATAAACATGGGAATCTTGATTAAGCAATTACCTCATTTTTTTTAACTGTATCAACATGTGAACAATTTTCCTTTTGAGGTCAGTGTTCTCTCTGCAATTGCCCTTGAGCAATAGTGGGCTTTGCAATATTTGTAGTTTTTAGAAATTGTATGGAAATGGATCATGTAATTTAAAAATGGTAATACATCTTATTTACAATGAACACATGAAGAGCTGTTGCAGCGCTGCTTCGGTGGTGCATGACGAAGTAGCCCAAGTACGGGTTGTGGTCAGAGTGCTTATAGGAGGACAGCTTGTGTAGGAACATACTGGCTAACTCTTCAGTTCAGAGGTGTGAGGCTTTTATTGTCAGGCAAGGCTGGGCGTTGATGCTTTATTTAGGGCTTAGGCGCTGTTAGTGAATCGTGGGTTTCTTAGTCTCGGGCATTACAATGAATAAACTTGACTCATATTTTGGAAAGAGGTAGGCAACTTGGGGAAGGGTGGGGAATTGCACGTGATAGTTCGTTGCTTCTCTGACTTTTATTTGGGGGAAAAAAACCAACACAAGTATTTGCCTGTAGATTCTTTGTAGTGGTTTAATTATATGGCAGGCATGTGGGGCGGGGAGGAAAGGGTGAGAAAATAGAGCTAATCCATATTTGATCATAAGAGACAAAACTGTTAATAAAGATGAGTGGCCTGTGTTCTCTGTTTTCTCATGGCGTCTGATTTTTGTGTAAGCAGCAGTGCAGGAGTATGTTGAATAGGTGAGAACCGAGTTGCATAGTTGGTGGATGTGAGCACTGCCGAGTTCTCTCCCACATAGTTAAAACGTGATTAATGAAAGGCTTGCACAACTTGTGTTACTGAGGCAGGGGAAAAAATTAGATTGGATACGTGTGGCTGTTTTGCAAGATATGGTTGGCTGAGAAAGGTGTAAAGGGCTAAGTCTGGGCTGTGCTTGGGCTGGGAGCTGAGTCGTGTAGCTAGGGTCTGAGGTATTCTCCTGCCTGAAAGGTCCTCCTCTTCAGGAGGAAACCGCTTTAAAGGCAGTAAGCAAGGCTTACAGGGGGAGACAGACTAGAAGAAAACGGAAGAAAGAAAAGAGTATGTATTGCCATGTTCTGTTGTCCTCAGTCACGTTTGACTTTTCCTTGTATTTCCTCCCATAGCACAGAGGCCATCATTAGCCAGGTGTTTTTGTGAGTCCATTAATCCCTTTGGTGACAAGGAGCCTCTTCCTATAAAGCAATCTGAGGAATCCAGCTTGCCCACGGTTAGGAAAGATCAGGGCTTGGTAAGGACAGACCTGCCTGTTGTGAGGGAGTGGGAGGGACCATGAACTCCCCATTGCATCCGTTCTACCTTTTCTCCTCGGCTCAATCTCCCGTGGCAAAGCACAAAATTCGTTTCCCATATAGTTGGTTGGAGCAAATAATTGGTGTAACAAGAATTGTGGTTTCCAAAGTTCTGTTTAAAAAATACAGCTACTTCCAGCTGCAGACTTAATTACGTAGTCACTCTTGGGCCTGCCTTAGTAATCTCTTTTTACACTCACGTGTCCCACCCAGTTTTAGTGGAGTAACCACTTAAACAGATCGTGGCATGTGAGCTATGACTGGAAGCACCTTTGCATAATGGATGTCTTTATTTTCCTGAGAATATCTTTCTCTGACTCTTTGAGGGTGACCCATACTGTAATTATTTCCCTGCAATCCTGGATGTAGAATCCAGCCTTCCTTTAGGCAACGTTCTGAAATTATACCTACAGATTGTAAGGCAGAGAAAAAGCATACCAGAGATGCTTTGTATTGTCTTCAAAATGTGTTTACTACTGTCAGTGAAACTAGTAAAATACTAGTTTTTCCCTTAGGTGTCATTGGTTTTATTTTGTTGTGGGATGGAATAATTACTTGTTGCTGTGGATTATAGAAAGCATGAGTGTAACTCTCTGAACTGAAACATGAGTTTCAAATAACACTGTATATTATTATTGTTGTGTTTTCCCCCAAAATTGTAAACCTCTGTTGCAGCAAGCTGAAGATAATTTTTATACCTATTAGGAGTTGCCCTGTGAGCAGAAAACAGGATATGCTCAAAGTCAGATGATTTGGTAAAATTTAGTGGGTGCATGACTCCTCTAACAGATATATCTGAATTTCCTTCAAGATATGGATGGGACCAAATTGTTCTCCGGTGCTGCATGGCAGTTTTGCCACTCTTCGTGGGCTTCCCGAGGTCCCTTCTCCCAGCACGCTGTGGGTGGAGGGGTGGTGCTTCCCAGGGTGCAGGAACTGGTGTTAAGCAGCCTGTCTGCCTGGCTGGGCTGCCAAGGGACGTGGTCCACGGATCACTTGGAAACCAGTTCTTGGAATGTCCTGCTTACCTGGAAGCTATTTTCTGTGCTGTGGAAAAGAAGGAAACCTGGAAATGGTACCTCATAGGAGCAAGTATAACTGGTACTAAGGAGCTCTGTATACCTTTTGATTTTTTGTTTGTTTGTTTGTTTGTTCCCCCTCTACACCCCCATAACAGCAGTTTATCCACAGTTATAAGTTAAAGCACCAAATGTTCAAAACAGGAACTTTTTTTAAGGTTTAACTGTCTACGGGACAGCAGGCCCAGGGAAGTCCATCTCTTGGACTCTGCAGGCTGGGGCAGGTCTCTCCCTTGTTTAGCCAAATCCAAGTTTCAGGAGGAAACAAGCAGAATCCTGTGGCCGGAGAGTGTCAGAGCAGATGGTCGTAATGGTCTCTTCTGATTTAAAATCTAACAATTCTCACACACACCAGCTGCTGTGTTTTGAATCGTGTAGGAGGGCGCTTTCTGATAGAATGGGAGCATGAAATCAGGCAGGAATGGGGTGTGTAGTGGCCGTTGCCTACGGTGGAAAAGATTGCCTGGTGTGGGAAAAAAAAAGCTCAATGGGAAGTATCTCTCCTCTGCAGAGACTGAGCAGGGGAAGTGTCTGCTGCCCCAGGCTGAGGAAAGTCTCATTCTTCCACTAACTTTTAAGAATATCAGAGGACAGTGAAGAGAGAGTGCAGTTTGTTGTAGTAGCTGAAAGGGATGGGTTTTGTCCAAATTTGATTCCAGGGCTAAACTACTTGCTTTATTTTTGGCTGTAACTGCAGAGGGCTGGTGGGAGAGAAGGAAAATGAAATTTAAAGCTTCATTATTCTTGGTCCATGTTTAGTGTCTGCTAAGGGTTCCTGAAAGTTCACGTGGCTGCTTTAAAGACACCTTGAGAAAGGCTGTTTTCTGTGTGTTTAATGCAGGAGCATACTGAGCAAGACTGCAGGTATGTAAGAGCAGCCTGCCGTGATACACCCTGCTCTATGAAATTTTGTTCATATATCATGCTTGAGATGTATAGCTGGCACTTTGAGTAGTCTATCTAATGTGGCTCTTGCAACTGCTGGAAAGCCAAGGAAAGCACTCTAGTTCTGATCGGGCACTGCAACTGCTGGAGGAGGGGAGAGTACTCTGCAGAAATGCAGAGGATTTGGTAGGGACGGGGGAAGAAAGGAGAGCTGGATCTCTGGCTGTGTTCGGGATGGATTTGACAGACACCAGAGTACGAGTATGAGAGAGCACATTACAAAGCACATTACAAGGACGTTATCTGGGGGGAGCTTCTGGTTGAATTTATCTCTGAGAGAGGACTTTGGTGTGTGCTAAATTTTTTTTTTTTTCTCCTCGTTAAGTAGCAGGATTAAGATTACAGACATAGGAATGGCTAATTAAGCAGTGACTTGCAAAGGGATAGAATGACAAAGCTGAAATCTCTGTACCTGCAAGTGTGATACCCAATTACTTCATAGTGATGAACAAGATTTGGCCTCAGGTGGCTGTAGGGTAGTGTGATGCTGATTTTTCAACATATGAAACTGTACTTTTTTTCCTTTATTTAAAAATTAAGAGAGCTCTCAGGTATTCCTATTAAGTGAGATGGGCAGACATAAATAGAGGTATGAAAAGTCTATTTATGCAGAAAGGTGAAAAAGGAGCCCCAGAGCCACTGCTGAATGATCTGGATTACATCTCTGTGGTATTGTATTCATGCACTGAGTTATTTTGCTTTATGTTTGTTTTCTGTAAGGTAAATTGCTTATGTTGCAAAAATGAATACTGGGTAGAATTGAAATTTATTTAATTGGATTTTTAAATATCAAAACATCTGAAAAAATAAACAGCAATAAGAATAAAATGCTTGTTGTGAAGTTTTCCTAATTCTTCATGCAATAAGTGTGATTTTTTTTTTTTTAAAAAAACCTACATCTGTTTTTCAGGAGAAACTGTAGAAGGCCTTCGAGAGAGCGATTATCTTCTGATCCATTCATGTCGGCAGTGGACAACAATTACAGCTCACAGTCTGGAGGAGGGTCACTACGTCATAGGGCCAAAGATAGAAATCCCTGTACATTATGCAGGTAAAGCTATTGTTGACCTGAAATACAAATCCAAAGAGAATGAATTGCCTACCACTTAAAGTGATCACCTTATTTGACAGTGAAGCTAAGCCTCTGATGCCGGTGTCTGTGACTTTACGTTTTAATAATGTTACAGAGCGCAAGAGATACTGACTTACTCCCAGGGCTACTGAATAGATGTATTTCACTGGGCAGCACATTGACAAAATACATAGCTACGTAGAAGAATTGGTTTCTCATCTGTGAATGTGGTGACAAAAGTGTGAAAGTTTGAAAATGCCTTGAAATGTTCGGTCAAAGGTGGAATGGGTTTTACACTTCATGGCATGCTCAAGCTGGAGGGGATTTTTTAATATTTCCATTTTAAAAGCCAGGAACCCTTCGTAATAATACTGCAGTTTTACACTAATGCTCGTCAATAGTTCCTTGTCACTGTCTGCCTTTTTGGATGATGCAGTAATACTGTTGTTCCAAGTAGGTATGATGCAACTAATCCATATTTATTTTACAATTTCAAATTATTTTTACTTTCCTTGGAAATGATTTTTTAATACTGTTTCCTACTGCTTAACATCCTTATTCACAAGCTGAATAGAACAATACCATATGAGTGGGAAGTGCTTACCTTACTGCAGTAGATACAAAAATTTAAAAAGCTGGAAAGGGTGAACTGAAAGAGCTATGGCTACGAAGCAAAGACGTGGGCTTAGTGTTTTTCTGTATAGCCAATTGTCAACTGGGTAATCTACTCAGCTCTTTTACAGTCGTCTTTAAAGTGTTGGTGCAATGAGGGTGTGCTGAGTTGTACAAGAGCTGACTGAAATGTTTTATTTCAATCACACCAGTGCTGCAACTGCAGTGATGCACCCTATTGCAGTGATGAAATTTACACCAGTTGCCTTCTTATGTACTGTTTCTCCTTGGAGTTCACTTCTGGAATGTTAATTTTTTTTAAGATGTGTTTAAAAGCTTTGGTCTGATGGCATATAGTGTCATAATATAAGTGGCTTTAAAACTCTCTGAATTTCACTTTCTTAGTACAAACAGTTTCTAGTGCTTGTGCTTAGTAACATTTATTTTTTGACACCTCCTGGCTGCATAAGTTTCAGTGCTATGGCCAGATAAACACTTCACTTCCTTCAAACTGAATGCTGTGTTTTAAAATCCTCACTGTGATTCCTGGAAGAAGGAGAACAGAAAATAAAATTACTATTGGCATGAAAGAAGATTGGATCTTAAGGGGTCTACTAAAGCTTGGTTCTTAATTTTTAAAGAAATTAACAAAGATCTGCTAAGCAGGGTTTCCTGACTCTTCATACTTCCATTCATTCATTGCTTAAATTTACATAGATACCAGCAAAATCAAAATCTGTCCCCTAAGATACTGCAAAAGTATCAATGTGCTTTTCTTCCTGGCTTGTGTTAACGCAGGAAAAGAGTGTGCGTTTAGTTGGCAGAATATGTTTTGCTGTCAAACAATCTCCAGAAAGTTCCCTGCCATAAAGCCCTCATTAATGAGATGGAAATACATGAAAGTTCAGAAACTGCCATGTAGTGAGGGCACTTACTGAGTATTCGAGGGGCTCCGATGCTGCCAAAGGAACTTCATAAACATGGTCAGTGCTAACTTGCAGTACCAGAGCATGTCTGATGGGCTTGCCTACGAGAAAGGAGAGACGAGTCTAAGCATGTGAAGGTTTAGTTAGCAAAGCACTGCAATCTGATGCTTGGGTGCTAACATCTAAATGCATTTAGAGACGTCTTCCATATCCTAAAGATTAGCTTATGCTGCTGTGGAGTACCATACTGAGATCTATAAGCTAACACTGAGTGCGCTTTCAGTGCTGCATTGTGTAGTGCCTCACGTTTACTGCTCTTGGGATCCAGAACCTCACACTGAAGAGGCAAAAGTTTAATGTAGCTGCCTAAGAAGGTTTGCTGGGCTGGGTACTGACCTGACGCAGTTATGCTGCTAGCTCTGGAGCTAGCTGGGGTGTCTGCTCTGCAGTGAGCTCTGGGAAGGCTGGGAGGCAGGAGCGCTCCAGAATCATTACCTTTCTGAGGAGGACATGCTGTTACCGAAAGGTAGTGCCGTCAGGTGGCAATTGCTGTGTGAGCTGGCTGGCACAGCCCTCCGTTTGCATGTGAGAGCTTTCCGTCTTTGCAGAAAGCACAACTAATGGCTCAGCCATTAGTTTTTGGTTTGAGAGGAGGGATTTTATGTCCTTATAGGCAAATGTTTGTAAACTGTATTGCTGTATAAATTTTGGATTATAGGACTGACATTTTGCCTGCCTTAACTTTAAACTTCTGTCAAGTAAGATGTACTACCTACCAGAATGACCCTTAGAGATGGAATGTAAGAGTTCATTAAAATGACTTCCTAGGTTTGTTTCTGCTTTAATGGAATAACTTTTTTTTTTTAACCCCTAGCAGAATTTTAATGTAGCAAATCGCAGCATTATTTTGGTTGCAGCAGTTGAGCAGGAAGGGAAGTTGAAACTTATGTTATTATCCTGAGATTATGGGCTTAAGTACCACAAAGTCATCACTCGCATATATAAATACGAGTATAAAGTAAATTTTGTTTTGCTACTTGCCAAATCAGGTTTTGATACACTTATTAAACCTAAATACAATAAAGCCTTATTAAAGAAGGAAAATGCTGCATTTTATGTTTAAGTGAAATCTCATTAACAGAACCTGAGTCATATAACAGTCATATATGACAGCTCTTAGTCTAACCATT